GGTCTAAGAGGAATAAAGCACGAAAAGGGACATGGGGAGCGTTTGGGGAACATCTGTAACGGTCCCCGTTACAATTAGCACTAGTTAAGTCTTCCGTTCACAACGGAAGACTTATAGTGTTTGTATTGTTTCTTTTTATTATTATTATTATTATTCCTCCCAAATTTTGTGAGCGCGATTACTCAGAGATGGCTGGATAGATTTTCACAATTTTTCTCATGTAAGTAGGTTGATATATGAAGTTTATATAAAATTCCGTATTTTGAAAAATTCACTTCCGGTCCGAAGTTATGGCCGATTTTCGAATTTTAAAATGGACTTTTGTCCGGCAGTTTTCTCGGAAACGGTTTGAAGTAAAGATATGGAATTTACAGGAGTATTAGATCATGATATTCTATTTGTTTTGAAGGTATTTTCGTGTGTTTCCAGTACTTCCTGTCCGAACCGGAAATGAATTTGTTTTTGGTCAATTTTTGATTTTTTTGTTTTTAGATATTTTTTCAAGATATTCTTATGTAAAACAGACATTTTTCTACAAATACTAAATATTTAATTTGTTTTTTAATCAGATTCCGCATTTTGTATATTTTCGGTACCGAAATTTTCTCTATTTACGTAGTATGTATAAGGTGGGCAAAGAAAGATAACTCTGACCTGTGAATGAGAATAGAACTTTCGAGATAAAGGCGGAAATAGTATTGATGACGTTAGAGACATATAAACGCTCTCCAGATCAACATATTTACACATTCAATATTCTCTCTTTTGCATATTACTTAATTCACTATATGCATATTAGTTTAATTTTGGCTGTGTAGCGTTAGTCTGTATATTGAAAGTTTTTAGCTCACCTGAGCCGAAGGCTCAAGTGAGCTTTTCTGATCACATTTTGTCCGTCGTCCGTCCGTCTGTCCGTCCGTCCGTCCGTCCGTCTGTCCGTCTGTCTGTCTGTCTGTCCGTCTGTAAACTTTTCACATTTTCGACTTCTTCTCAAGAACCACTGGGCCAATTTTGACCAAACTTGGTACAAAGCATCCTTGGGTGAAGGGGAATTTAAATTGTTAAAATTAAGGGACATATCCCCTCGCAAGGGGAGATAATCAAGAAAAGGCAAAAATAGGGTTGGGTCATTAAAAAATCTTCTTCTCAAGAACCACTGAATCTTATGTGGAAGCATCTTGGGGTAGTGTAGATTCTAAATTGTTCAAATCATGACCCCCGGGGGAAGGGCGGGGCCACAATGGGGAATCAAAGTTTTAGATAGAAATATATAGGAAAAATCTTTGAAAATCTTCTTCTCAAGAACCACTGGGCCAGAAAAGCTGAAACTTATGTGGAAGCATCTTGGTATAGTGTAGATTCTAAATTGTTCACATCGTGACCCCCAGGGGAAGGGCGAGGCCACAATGGGGAATCAAAAGTTTTACATAGAAATATATAGGAAAAATCTTTGAAAATCTTCTTCTCAAGAACCACTGGGCCAGAAAAGCTGAAACTTATGTGGAAGCATCCTGGTATAATGTAGATTCTAATTTGTTCAAAATCATGACCCCCGGGGGAAGGGCAGGGCCACAATGGGGAATCAAAGTTTTATATAGAAATATATAGGAAAAATCTTTGAAAATCTTCTTCTCAAGAACCACTGGGCCAGAAAAGCTGAAACTTATGTGGCAGCATCCTGGTATAGTGTAAATTCTAAATTGTTCAAATCATGACCCCCGGGGGAAGGGCGGGGCCACAATGGGGAATCAAAGTTTTACATAGAAATATATAGGAAAAATCTTTGAAAATCTTCTTCTCAAGAACCACTGGGCCAGAAAAGCTGAAACTTATGTGGAAGCATCCTGGTATAATGTAGATTCTAAATTGTTCAAATAATAACCCCCGGGGGAAGGGCGGGGCCACAATGGGGAATCAAAGTTTTACATAGAAATATATAGGAAAAATCTTTGAAAATCTTCTTCTCAAGAACCAGTGGGCCAGAAAAAGTGAAACTTTTGTGGAAGCATTCTGGGGTAGTGTAAATTCTAAATAAAAATCCCCCCTGGGGAAGGGCGGGGCCATTATAGGGAATCAAATTTTTTCATAGAAATATATAGGAAAAATCTTCTTCTCAGGAACCACTGGGCCAAAAAAGCTGAAACATATGTGCCCATGGAAGGATCATGGGGTAGTGTAGATTTCAAAATGTCTAAATTACGATCAGTGGGGTAGGGTGTGGATGCATTCAGGGTTCGACAGAAAATTTTTGATGTGGCCCGAATTTCACCAAAAAATTGGATGGCGCGCCAAATGTTCTGGACTAGGTGGAATTGTACATGTATTTAAATTTAAACACCGTATTTAAAAAAAATACAAATTCAATTATTTTTGATTAAATAAATCTGTAACTCAAATTTTTAATTTCTCCACACTTGTATTTTAAAGAAAGTTTTTATATGTACTAAATAATGTTTTAGGTAAGAAGGGGGCTAACTCAAAAAATATTTTACATGTCAAAAATTTTCCAATATAAAGCAATAATCTTGAGACTGTTTTGTGTACCTTGAATAATTCAATTCAAAGCATGAAAAATCCGTGCCAAGTTGACAGTCTCTCCCTTTTTAATTAAGCCGGGTAACTGGAAATCGTCCCTACTGAACGCATCTTTTGGGGATAATTTGAAATTGATTGACAGTTGCATTTATGCACAGTGCTTACATGTTGTTTTTTACTTATTTGTTTTACATTTTATGAACTATTACCTGCAATTTCAGGTTTTTCTTGATATACATGTATATCAATACTTATTTAAATAAATATAATAAATTTAGAAAATAATAATGTTAATTAGACATGTGCCTATGTATTTTGCATCTTGTAAAAAAAATGTCTTAAATATTATGAGTTTAACTAAAAAAATCACTTGTTTTAATATGTAACAGATTAATTATTTATAGGAATTTTGAATTTGAAAAACCCACATGTGCATTAACAAGTGTATTGCTTTTACCGTGTTTAACTTAATGATAGCATTATTAAATATTTTTATGGTTATAAATTAATTTTTTTTTTTTAGCAGTTTTAACATACCAGTTAATTGCAATAAACAAACATTGACAGCTAGGTCTAGATATTGCATCATACCCTGTGCCGTGATTCGCATCAAGTTCACAACAGGTGCTCAGTACACGCGAGGATTCTAGTGATTTGAATTGTTTTATTGAAATATTTGTAACTGATATCATTCACATGGTACACAATTAATAATTCATGCATAGCGGGAAGCATGGCGGCAACATGTGATGCATGGCGGGAGATCGTGAATGCATGGTGGTACCGCCATGCAAAAACGGCCTGGGGAAAACACTGAGGGTGGGGATGCATTAAGTATAACAAGGGGGAAATCTGGTAAAGAACAGAATGGTCAACGCTTCTCAGGTGAGCGATGTGGCCCATGGGCCTCTTGTTTAAACATAAATAACAAATAAAAGCTTTCCATGACTAAAATATGATTTTTTTTCAAAGTGCGTTAAGTGTCTCCATGGTAAAATATATTTATGTAGACTCTTAACGCACTTTGAAAAATTTTTTCAAAGTGCGTTAAGTTGGTCCCAAAATTAACGCACTTTGAAAATTTTTATCAAAGTGTGTTGATTTTGTCCAAATTTTAACGCAATTTAAAAAAATTTTTCAAAGTGCGTAATTTTTTCAAAGTGCATTGCCACAATGCTTCCACAGTTTAAACAGCCCTATCACTGACAAATGAAGCATCACTTGAACTAGATCGCTTCCTCGCCATTCGACTGCTTTGCGCATGACGTAAGCACACAAATACACAAAATTTCAGTCAGTTTGAAAGTAACACGTGCTCAAACCACGTGTAGGGATTTCGAAAAATTATGAAAGTGTTGTGAAAATACGTATAAAATAATATAATGATGTTTTATTTATTTATTGATGAGGAAAGCAACTGTCAAAAACGACTTTTAAGCTAATATGAGGTTAAAAACACCACACATGATATTTTCAGGTGATAGTTTGTTTGTGTATTTGTGTGTGATGTCATGCGCAAAGAAGTCGGATGTCGAGGAGGCGACCAAATTCAAGTGATGCTTCATTTTTCGGTGATAGGCTTGTTTAAATGGCGAAAGCATTATATTTATGAGGATTAACAAGTAGATGAATAATTGTTTTACTGATTTCTCTCGTCTCGGGAGTTAGCTCCGCGAAATAAGGTTGTAAAAGGTAGGCAGAGTAGCGATACCAGGTGGATTGGCCAGATTCCCAGTTTTCGATATGGCGTCCGTTCTGACTCTCCCCCGCAAAAGTCACAATATAAAAGTGGGGGTTAGAGTCAGAGGAATCTCAGATTTATGTATACTCATCCATGCCGCACCGCACGTATGAGAAAGAAGACAGTAATCAAACAAAGAAATTACATGTTTTGAACTAAATTGTCCAAATGCAGCAATGTTTAAACTATCTCTGCTTTGGATTGTTTTTATCAGCCTCCCTAGTATGAATATCAATAGTCTCTTAATTGCGATTTTTTGACTCTTTTAAATAAAAAATAGAATTTTTAGTAGTAACATTGAAATAGCTAAATAAAGCTACCTGAGGTAAATCTATGTAAGTAATTCTACCTATGTAGCTAAATCTAGTGATTGTACTGGACCTTGGTAAGATATGGCAAAATAGAAGTAAAAATATGATAAATATTATAAATACTTCAATATTTATTTTCAGCTAAAATAAAACAATCAAGCTTATCATGCTTATCTGACCAGATTTGGTGTTTGATATGCTATATAAGGTGTAGTAATTTCCTTAAGAAAAGATGCAACAAAAGAATTAATATTTTTACCAACTTTTATGTGAACTTATAATGTAATATTCAAAATTTAATTCAAATTAATAATTTTCAGTAAATTGTAAGATATTCATTTTGAGTCCTTTTGGGTAAATCGATGCACCAATTTCTGTTAATTTTTTTTTCCGGTGAGAGTAACGCATTGCCAAATGAATTATTTGTTTACTCAGATTTTGGACTAGAGCAATAACTAGGTCATGATGGCAGATTTCCAGTCCACACATTCACCTTATACTGAAGACCCTACGCTTGATATGGAGTTTACTGGTGTGTATCATTATATGTAAATTGGTGTCTCATTATAACGTGGTACTAAATCCTTTTGCATAAAAAGTGTTATTCTATTTTTTTTACTTTAACTGTCATCAAATACTATCCATAAACCAATCTATGGCCTAACTTTTTAGTGTCAAATTTTTTCTCAAGTTTGCATTGTTTAATTTGTAGTAAATTTTTAAAACAAGAAGTCTTATTTACCTCCTAGTCCTGAATACTTTATATCGCAATTACTTTAAAACAGGGTTTCAGATTGAAATAAGTAACTATAGGACATATGGCATATTTAACAGAAAAGTTATAGGTCATTCTGTCCTAAACTTCTTAAAACTATAGGCCAATAGAAAAGTTCAACTAACCCAGATTTCTCTCAAACTTTTACAAAAAAATCATTTAAGGGGCAATATCTCTCTGCTCCAAAGAACTACATGTATATGCGGTATATTGCATATATTTGCCCCCACAAAAGTCAAATTTTGAAAACTTCCTGAAATGTGCTGAATTCAATAAATTGTATGAAAAATATAATTCAACAGAAAATATTATAGTTTCAAAGCAATGTATTCACAATTTTTGTATTAATGACGTCACAAACTAGTCTGATTTTATATCCTCTTTCAGAAATAGGACAAAATGGACAAATTTTCAGCAATTAGCTTTAAAATATGTAGAGCGTAAGTTTATTCAATAACAATATTGACATATTCCATTGATATTATCATTCTGCAGATCCTTCACTCTACCCTTATTTTTTGGGGATTTCAAATGGGGCAAATTCAAAGAATACAGTGTAATTTCTTGATCCAAACTATAAGTGGGGGAATTGAAAATGGGGCAAAATTGTTCGCAAGTATGAAATGGCAAAAATAACCCTGTATATACAGTATTTATTGCAGTGATAATTCTTTTCCGATATATAGCGGAATTCAGCTAATTTGAATCCAAGAATCCGATATTTACAAGTATTTTCCGATACTTCAGGTTTTTCATATATTTCTGCGATAATGTCAAGTTTTTGTCCGTTTTAATCCGTTTAAAATAAATTGATGTTTTTAGTCCGTGATCTGCATCAGCCAGAGGTTTGTTTCCATATGTAAGTAAAGTAAACGCAAACGTCGGGATGATTGTGATTTCGTAAACACTCATGGTAATATGGCGCAGCTTGTCCAGCCAGGTCATGATGTGAAAGTTGTCGACAAGGGTATTAAAAATGTATGGAAATGGAATTGGCTGTGGCGAGTTGTAAACAACGAAAAATAGCCAGATGCATTTTATGCAATGAAGACATTAACTATGGAAATCGAGGTTGGAAGGCCATTGAGCAGCATTTAATCCAAAAGTTATAACATTCAGAAAACAAACGGTTAAATTAAGTGTTTATTTTGAATAGAATAAAGCTTTTATCTTCAATTTTGTGTCAATTATTTAAGTCTCTTTGGGGTTTACTAATGCTTAAACTCGTCAGCGTCGACCCCCAACCTAATTCGGATATTTTAGCAAGTTCACAGAATCATCACTGTTATTGTAAAGCAGTACAGATAAACTCTGTTATAAGGAAGTCGAGGGGAACTGTGAAATTCCTTCACTATATCCAAAATTTGTGTAATGAATTTATATAGCAGGGGATCCAAAATGACTTAGCTATATCCATGAATTCGGAATATCCGTGTTCATACTAAACAAGTTTTACTGTATAACATATTATTGTAAATAGGATTTTTATTAGAATTAACTCTTGTTACAAAAAAAATTTATTTCAGTTAGAAAAAAAAATTTAGAGCATTCTTACACAAACTTTATCATTCTGAATCTTACACATTACTTGTCTTGATTGTAGTAAAGAAGGAGCCATTTGGGATTTCTGATTCTGTGGAGGAGGAAGAAAATCAACAACAGCTGTTAACAGTGAAGGTAAATCATTTTTTAGCTCACCTCAATGCAGTTTGGGGAAGCTTATGTGATACCCTCAGCATAGGCATCCCAGGTTCAAGTTTTTGGTGAATTTTTTATACCCCCGCAAACGAAGTTTAGGGGGGTATATTGGAATCACCATGTCCGTCTGTCTGTCTGTCTGTCTGTAGACAAGATTTTGTCCGGACCGTTTCTCAGAAACTGTTGGATGGATTTGTCTGAAAATTTGTACACTTATTATTCACCATATGAAGCTGTGCACCTGGGATTTTCATCATGATTGGATGATTTTTCTGCATTTTACAGGCGTTTTTTCTTTTTTATTTTGTGATTTTGTTTTGCTCATAACTAAAAAACTATTAGACTTACAATCATCAAACTTGGACAAGTTATGCATCTTGGGTAGACGGTGTGTCCCGACCTATTTCAAGGTCACTGTGACCTTTAATTGAAGTAATTTTTTTTAAAAAACTAAGTCTTTAAAATTTTAAATTTCATAATCCTAAAAAATGTAAAAATATAGTTGTATCCTTATTAAAAAATGCTAAATTAAGTAAAAACTTATTTTTTATCATATACTTGACAGAAAATTCTGTAACAAATGTTAATGATTTGAGAGGAATTCAGTTTGTCCCATGGGCATAATTATCAAGCACTGGTCAAGGAGAATTTTTGATAGCAGAAATGTGCATGTCAAATTAGAGAGAAATTAACGAGTCAGGGCTCTCGATTCTCTAGATCTGGGGCCGATATTCGGCCCCGTTCCCAATGCAAAAAAGGTGCCTTTTTTCCCAAAAGAAAGGTGTAAATTTCCCAATTTCCATAGCAAAATATGAATTAAAAAATAAGAGTCCATGAAACCAACAAACAACACGTTTGCAAATGAAAGTGAAACCGTACCACTATTTTATTAGTTCGCGCCAAATGCATTCGTAAACTGGTTCGGGGAACCAGGTTATTGTTTTTACAAAAATGTGTACTAACTATGAGTGCAGAGTATCTTGTCATGTAGTTTCGACAAAAAACATCATTTTGGTTTCAAAAAGAGACATTTCATTTAAACATTAGTAAGCTGCACCTAGATCGAAATAATCCCACGCTTCGGCAAGGTCAGTCTAGCGCTGTATTGGTACGCAAAGTTGTCCATGTGATCAAGGAAATTTGGGACTATGTGACTGGCGACTGCATGTCACCTAGAAGACATAACCGTAATCATCAGCACTCAAAGATAGTAATAACAAATCTAATGTACTTTCATAAATACTATAGCCTACGTATCCATGTTTGTTCTGTTTAACTGTTTATTCAAAACCAGAGTTAAATTGATGACAAAATGCTAGAAAAGCGAAATTTGAGGATTTTTTAAAATGAATTTTGGTTAATATCCAACTTTTCCCAAAATGACGATAATTTTCCCAATTTGAACGGCCCCGGCCCCAGTCCCAAAAAGTGGTGTGAGAGCCCTGCGAGTTCATTGTCGGGAGTTAACTGGCAAGAGCACCATGCAGTATTAACTTAATTCATCTCTTGGGAGTTGGGCAAAAAGAAATGGTCTTATAGTTGCTTGTGTTAATTAAGAGTTCTTGATGACTGTAGTTCAGATAAAGGTCTTTCAATTGGTGTAATATAATTAAAACAAATTGATGTTTTAGTGTATGATTAAAACTGAATTAGTATTGTATAATATAATTAAAATTAATTATACGTGTGTTCATTGAAAAAAAATTAAACAGGGTATTATTTAATCTCGGAATAATTATTTGTCTCGGAATTCAAGTAAATCATCATTTCAGGTGTAGTGCCTATATGTAACCTTAGTTTTTCTCGAAATATCAGTTTCCACTGTAGTAGATGTTGACTAAGTGGGTAAGTGTGTATATGGGTACCAAAAATATATCTAACTGAAATATGTTGACTAAGTGGGTAAGTGTGTATAAGGGTACCAAATAAATTTAATGAAATATTGCAAAGTTGTTGTTTTTAAATATTTTTTTTCATGTTTCTGTTCTCTTTTAATTTCAAATTTTCATTTTTTTGTTTTTAATTATTTTTTCTGCAATAGTTTGGTATTGTGTAGTGAATCTGATGTTATGCTTTAGGGGTTAGTCAGTTTCCCATGCACAGCTTGGACTAACCCATTTGCGCATGCGTTACTCTGGGGGGTTAGTCAGATTTCCATGCATCGCATAGACTAACCCATCTGCGCATGCCTCAATATTTACTCGCTAATCTCTGCATTTTCCTTCGTATAAGCGGCAATATTAAGTAATCCTTCAAAACGATCCGTCTTCTAATTAAGCTACAATCCCACCGTAATCGTTTAAGTTACTCCCGAGTCCAAAATATCTGTTGAACATAGTCAACAACGCTGTCGAGCTGTCCATGAATGAAGACTTAGAAATACTATCGCAGCAAAGAACAATACATACCGATTCGTATTCTCGATGCACACTGCAAACATTTACCATTATTTTTGACAATCGTGACATTTAAATCCAAAGAAATGATCAGAAATAACGCGGCGATGTAAACACTACCAACTTCCAGCAATGCAACTTCCCATAGGCGCTTGGGTCAAGGATACTGCATTTTTTCTATATAATGTATTGTCGAGGAAATTCGAACTATACTCGTCACATTTTTTTTCAGTGTGCAGTGTTAATTTTTAGTTTTTTGTAAACCTTTCTGCTTCATATTCACTAGAATATCGCGGAAATTCAAATTTTATGCACGCTTTAAAAATGACATATCCCACTGTATACTAAAAAGAAACAAGGCTTGCAACTTCATTTGCCCCTTTCCGTGCCCCAGACTCGATTTTTTCCTTTTAAAAGTTATATGCACCGCTTACCAGCTGAATTATGAACCCCCATCTCTCCAGAAAATTCTTATGTAATGATAAAAATCCTCAGGTATAAACTTTTCATCCATCTTATATTTTTAATCAATTATTTCTCTCCAATTTCGCTCGATTTTTCGTCTAATCACGGAAGTCACCGGAATTCCAACATCCGAAACCCAAAACGGACGGACAGAAAATTAATTGACAGTTCTGAAAATCGCAAAAATTTGAGTATATGCCGATTAAAACTGTCTAAAACTTCTTATATTATCACTGACAATATATAATATTTTTAACCTGTATCCTTAATCAAAGGAAATTAAAGTCTAATTGATAGATGGAATGGGGGGGGGGGCGTCTTATTGTTCAACAGTGTTTATTAATCGAAATCAATGCGTACAACTTAAACGAACAATAAATAAATAAATTAATAATAAAAGAAAAGAAAGAAAGCAAGAAAATCTGTCTAAACTCAAACTGTATTTCAGGAGAACTATGTGGGAAGTTCAATGGTCGGTGTAGACTCTCTCTCTCTCTCTCTCTCTCTCTCAAATAGATGCAATAACCATTTGGCACTAAATGTGAAAAAAAAAGTGTAGAGTAGGGTGTGATGGGGATTAACTGTCGTTTTGATGCAAGTAATATACCGAGTTAGGGGAACAAATCCGAACAATATAGGTGCCAACTTGAATCACACACACAGCCCTCCTTTCCTGAGCATAAAGTATTTTTGATAAATGATCAATGAATTCTGGTGTTACTGATATTTGTTTTAAGCTGCTAATTCAATAGTAGATTTTTTGTAATTTTTTTTTGTAAAAATATTTGATTTTATGCAGTTTAAAAAAATTGTTTAAAAAGATTCAACTGGTATATATTTATTCTGGCTGCAGGCATATACACAGCTTTTACTTGCGTCTTTCAGATCAAGTCACCTGTAGTAATAGTAAAGGAAAATATGCAGTTTTTGTACAAATAAACTTGCTGCAATGTTTAATTTATTCTTAAATCTTCATAATGTTTAACCTGAAACACAAGTGTATTTAGATTTGGAACCCCCCCCCCCCCCCTCTACCGTCTATATGTACAAGTATATACCTTTGATTAAGGATACAGGTTAAAAATATTATATATTGTCAGTGATAATATAAGAAGTTTTAGACAGTTTTAATCGGCATATACTCAAATTTTTGCGATTTTCAGAACTGTCAATTAATTTTCAGTCCGTCCGTTTTGGGTTTCGGATGTTGGAATTCCGGTGACTTCCGTGATTAGACGAAAAATCGAGCGAAATTGGAGAGAAATAATTGATTAAAAATATAAGATGGATGAAAAGTTTATACCCGAGGATTTTTATCATTACATAAGAATTTTCTGGAGAGATGGGGGTTCATAATTCAGCTGGTAAGCGGTGCATATAACTTTTAAAAGGAAAAAATCGAGTCTGGGGCACGGAAAGGGGCAAATGAAGTTGCAAGCCTTGTTTCTTTTTAGTATACAGTGGGATATGTCATTTTTAAAGCGTGCATAAAATTTGAATTTCCGCGATATTCTAGTGAATATGAAGCAGAAAGGTTTACAAAAAACTAAAAATTAACACTGCACACTGAAAAAAAATGTGACGAGTATAGTTCGAATTTCCTCGACAATACATTATATAGAAAAAATGCAGTATCCTTGACCCAAGCGCCTATGCAACTTCCTAATGCAGACTACCACTGCTCCACGTCACGCTGTGAAAAATGACGTCACGGGTACATTGTTTTCCCGAACTGTGCGAGTTACGAGTCATCTGAGGAAGTCCGAGTGAAGAGCAAAATGGCGATTGAGCATTCAGCGTAATATAAGGTTTCCTGTCTTTGTTGTTCATCAGACGTACTCTAATTTTTATGTAAAATGTGCTACTTTAATCAGGCAATTAAATATTACAAGGGGAAAGCGAAACTGGAAAGTCTTCAGTACAAAAATCGGTCTTTAAAATTACAAGATCTATGATCCGCCCACTTGTTTCACCTCTAGTTAAGAGGTGCATATTTAGTGTGCAAATCTTGAGATTGTAAGCTTTGGTGACGTCACGCTCTAAATTGCAGTGACAGGGAAAATGATAGGCATACATAAAAAAAATGCACAGGCATAGAACATCGTTTTTGAGATGATAGAATTTAAACTAACATGAAACTTGATAAAAATAAATAAATAGATAACTTTAAAGTGAAGAAAAAAAAAAGAATTGCCTAAATTTGAAAATCTTGGCGGAGGGGGGGGGGGGGGGTGTCAGGTTTTTTCACATTCTTCTGTTAATACACATGCCCATATTTTTACTATTAAAAAAGAAAACAAAAAGGTTGTCAGGGTTTGTGTGTGTTGAAGGGGGGGGGGGGGAGGTTTCGATAGATATTTTTTCTATAGTAAAAAAATATGGTTATATCTCAGTTGTAAAAAAAGGAAAGGAGGCATTCCCCCACAAACCCCTCAGGCCTGATGCAGTGTATATTTAAATGATTTAGACTAGTAATATCAAATCATAAAAAGGATACATTTTATATATAAATAAGCTAATTTTGCAGGTCTATTGCCTTACCTGCTTTCCTGATTTACATGTATTTTTCTTTAGAAGACTGACCCCCCTTCTCCGTAAGTGGATTTGATTCTGAAAGGGGGCTGGCAGATTTTTTTTTTAATTACGGTATGTATAATTATAACGTTTACTTGCATGTCAGAACATCAGAAACTGAGAAAATTAAAAAAAAATCACAATACAATAAATGATTCTTTTCAGTTATTTATAATTGTGTGTCGTTTAATATTTTTATGGGTAATAATTGCTTATAATGCAATATTCAGCAACTTTTCTATATTTAACCTGCTTAATGGATATTGTGTAAATTATATTATACCAGTATTCGATGTGTTGGAACCGCGATACGTGTACATTATAACTGTACCAGAAATTTTATCAGTGTGTAGCACGGAATTTATATCATTTTCGACTGACCTCATTTTATTTATAGGTCGAAATGAAATTTTTAAAAATTGATAAACGGCTCATGAAAACAAACGGGTTACATTTTCGATACCAGTCGGTGCATATTAGATTATAAAATAGAAAAAGGTGCGTCCAGTCCAGATTTAAAATTTAAAAAAAAAAATTGAAAGGGGGATCCAGCCCCCATGTTGGACATGGTACTGATGAATTCTAGTTTCATTCCATCGAAATCTACAAAAAACGGGAAGTCACGGTCTTTGACATAATTTTCCAAGGCTGATATGTCAATTTCGTCCACCCAGCATTTCAATTATTTATGACATCCATTTTGGATACAAATTATACACATTCATGTTCCAATTTTTTCGATATATAAGATTTATTACTTCAATATTTTTTTAAGTGCATGAACATTTTATATAACGCTGGAACATCAGAAAATGCTGACATCGCCATATATGTAGCTATAATTTTACCAACAAAAAACGTCTAAATATATATTTTAATTATGATATTTTAGTTATTTACAGATGAATTTTCTTATGCCACGTGTCAAAGATATCGTACACGACGTCATGGTATTCCAACTCGGGTATACTATGATAGTGTTGTTGTGTTTGTAAATGATTCTATGTATAGCTGTAGTGTGCATGCTTTATATATACTTGTACTGTAACTCTGTCACTGTATCTTATGCTATGCCTAATCCTGCATACTCTGATATTAGTGTTGGTAGCAAAATAATTAAGCATAGCTGCTTCCGACTCTCTCTCTCTCTCTCTCTCTCTCTCTCTCTCTCTCTCTATCTCTCTCTCTCTCTCTCTCATATAATCTCCTTCATATTAATTCATATTAATATTGCACTGTGATTGTCTTTATATGTAGTGTATGCACCCTCTGATCCTTAAACACCCTCTGTAGTATGCTAGCTAGCTTTGTAATATAACTGCATGGTGTGCGCTTTTGTGCTTATGCGTATGGGTCACTAACCAGTCAATCGAAGCACTATGGATACTGGGGGTTCTAGCTAGTGCTACAAAATGTATAGACAAAAAACATATATTGACGCAATCGTCAAAAATCGGCCGCAAACCCACTGGTCCTTTCAATGAAGCAATTAGAAACTGGAATGCTTGATCTGTTATTAAAATATCTCACATTTATCCTGTGACATTGAAAATTTGCATGTGCCATTACAGTGTTTTCTTCAATACATAATACATGTACATTACTACATGTACATGTATAAACAAACTACTCATAGTCCTCTACGTTTCCGTGTACAGTTTGGTACAATCCACTCTGTCGGAAGTTTGATGTTTTTAAAGTAGTTTTTACGTTTAAAGATTAAAACTAAAGTTTAAAATGTTCTTAACCATAGAGATATATAGCTTTACTTTAATAAAAACGCAAAAAATATGTAGGGTTCATTGTTCGCTCTCGCCCCTGCGAGAAATCCTTGAACTTTTCTAGAATTGTAATAGAATATTTCTAGTACTTTTGGAATAGAACACCCTAAAATGTCCCTGATGAGTTCTATTACTCATCTTGTGCATTACTAGAACGTTAAAATATGTTAAATGAGACATTTGCTTGAACTATACCAGAATACACAGGTTCATGAACATGAGCAGTTCTAGAACAATCAATATCTGGGATTCTTTTGGAACAACAGAAACAGGGACTCGTTTAGAACTAAAATACCAAGAACAGGTCTGGGACTGTTCTGGTATGTTAAATGAGACATGGGATTTGCCATAATATTTAACGTTCAGGTACTGTTCTGGAACAAAATTTATTAAGTTTGTTCTTGAGCAGTTCTATAACTAAATGCATACAATTTTCTTAGAACAGATCTAGAACAGTTCAATAACTCTTTTCTAGTAAATATAATGATATATATATACCATTATACTATTCATAAGTTTTGTTCAATATCAATACCAATTTCAACACATTCATTTTGTTCTTTCACAACAGGATATATATGATTCTTAAGTTTTGCTTAAAAAAAAACTTTCAAGAGCTAAAACTTTCATTTCTTTATTCAGTACACTAATCAGATGATTTACGGACCTTTCTCCGCTCCATTTTTAAGAAATTATCAAACTTTTTCTTAAACACTTCCAAGCTGATACTACATTTTGTCATGATAGCTGTCTGCACAGCTGTTAATTTCTTGAGATCAAATCCTGGTCTCGGGGTTTCCCCCGAGTTAACAGTTTTTTTACCTGTTCGAGAACAATTAAGGACTTCCTCATTTGAGAAAACTTTGTATATAAGAGTTCTTAAAATGGTAGAGATATCATTCGCTGACAAGTGCAGCACACATTTCAATAAGTCATCGGATACTTCTCTTTGACTTGGAGCTTCAGGGTTGTCTGTGTGAGCTTTAAGCTTTTTCTTTAGTACGCTGACCTCCTTCTCTAGATTATGTACTTTTGTCTCCAACTTTCGTACCTTGCTGAATAAAGAAATGAAATGATTTTAAGAAATGTTAACAGATGATGCAAATTTGATCTATGTTCGATGAAAAGCTATAATTATTTATATTAAATTAAATAAAGGAGGCCTGTCATCAAACAATGATTGATTGCTCATAAAGTGTGCATTTCCATAAGGGATGTGCAATTAAAATAAACTTTATAAGGCATCTAAATATGGTTCTTGCATCAGACTGGAAAAAATCCTATGCCCTGGATATTGAGAGGAGGACATGAAGTTTATTTTAAGACTATGTTCACACCATTAACCAACGAGACTTTAATTACGTACTGCTTGTGCACTTTTTTCAAATAAATTTAATAAACACACTCTACTACAGCAAAACATTTTCATTACTGACTTCATACATTCCAATACAAATAAGTCTAATGGACTTTTGCGAGGAGCGCTGACTCTTAAAGTTACACTAGGACAATGTATGGAAGCTATTTTACAATATAAATATTTAGCTCAACATTTAATTCAACGAAAATAACGGGTAATTTCAAAGCACAAACAAGTTGTAAGGTTTTCTTATTTGTTATCAATATTGTACTTCTGTACAATGATACAGGTTTAAATGTCAAAGTAAAAGTCAGTGCTTCTCGCAAGAGTCCAATAGTAAATAACAACTAACGTTTAAATACTGTGTGACCATGGCTGTATCGATTTGACTGTTACCTATGTAAAGAAGGAGAAGACGGACTACTTGATGGTCTTTTTGCTTCACTAATGTCTCCAAGAACCTGGCTCACTGTTGGCTGCAAAGGACGGTCCTTTCTTATCGCAGTGCCTCTACCTGGCATTTCTGAAAGTAATCACACTATAATTAATTCACACAGACCATAAACTGGATATCACAGACACACATATATAATACATGTACATGCCTTTCCTAGAATGTTCACAAATAATACATTCAAACATTCAAACAGACCATTATGAAACTGGAGATCACAGACAGATATATACATGTACATGCCTTTTCAAGTATTTCACAAATAATACATTCAAATGTAACAAACCTTCATTACTTGTTGATGCCTCTTTTTCACTGGGGTCTCTAGAACCCTGGCTCACTGTTGGCTGCAAAGGACGGTCCTTTCTTGTCGCAGTGCCTCTACCTGGCATTTCTACAAGTAATCACACTACAATTAATTCATACAGACCATTATGAAACTGGAGATCACAGACACACATATATAATACATGTACATGCCTTTCCTAGAATGTTCACAAATAATACATTCAAACTGAACAAACCTTCATTACTCGTTGATGCCTCACTATCACTGAAGTCTCCAAGAACCTGGCTCACTGTTGGCTGCAAAGGACGGTCCTTTCTTGTCGCAGTGCCTCTACCTGGCATTTCTACAAGTAATCACACTACAATTAATTCACACAGACCATTATGAAACTGGAGATCACAGACAGATATATACATGCACATGCCTTCTTTCCTAGAATTTCAAAAATACATTCAGTTATGTAACAAACCTTCATTACTTGTTGATGCCTCTTTTTCACTGGGGTCTCTAGAACCCTGGCTCACTGTTGGCTGCAAAGGACGGTCCTTTCTTGTCGCAGTGCCTCTTCCTGGCATTTCTACAAGTAATCACACTACAATTAATTCATACAGACCATTATGAAACTGGAGATCACAGACAGATATATACATGTACATGCCTTCTTTCCTAGAATTTCAAAAATACATTCAGTTATGTAACAAACCTTCATTACTTGTTGATGCCTCACTTTCACTGGGGTCTCTAGAACCCTGGCTCACTGTTGGCTGCAAAGGACGTTCTTTTCTTGTCGCAGTCCCTCTACCTGGCATTTCTACAAGTAATCACACTATAGTTCACACAGACATAAACTGGAGATCAAAGACAAATATACAATACATGTACATGCTATTCCTAGAATGTTCACAAATAATACATTAAAATGTAACACGCTTCAGTTCATTACCTGTTGATTCCTCACTTTCATCATCTCATACCAAATTTTTAGGATCATCTTTATAAATAATCCACGCTATAATTTACACTTTTAAAAGCATAAACTTGAGATAAAGAAATCATTTACTACAAACACAAATATATGTTGTTTTTTTCTTCTAGATAAGTAAATAAAATTTCAAGAAGAAATTGTTGACATGACAAATAATACTTTATAATAAAACAAACCTTCATTACTGGTTGATGCCTCACTTTCATCATCATGCAGATTTTGGCCATATCTGTAATGAAGTGGAACCTGGCCATCCTTCATTTTTGACTTCAATGCTATCCGATCTTCTGAAGTTTAAAAAAAAAGACATTAATGGCTAGGAACTGGGAAATAAATTGTTCTAACTTTTAACTATCAAACAAAACAGAAATAAACATTAGTCCTAAAATACAAGTTAATTTTAATGCAAAATGATTTTATAATTTCTGTCATTGAACGGTTCATTTGTATGTTGTTTAACGTCCCTCTCGTGAATTTTTCACTCATATGGAGATGCCACCACTTGTTGGTAGAGAGCTGCAAATTTTGTCCAATGCTTGATACTCAGGGCCATTGAGCAAAGTACAAGTCTCCATGTCCCACAGTGGGATTTGAACCCGCAACATTTTAGGATCGAGTCCTCACTTCACGACTTTAGGGCAGATGCTCTAACAACTGCACCATGTGTGCGACGTCATTGAAGGAAAATTTTTACAAGTAAATGGAATTATATTCCGATTTAGTTCTGAAATCTCAAGATTGATCAAAGAATATCATTATATGGTTTTAGACTTAAATTTAAACTTTATAATAAACATTATAATAATGTTAATCTAATTAGGTAGCATATGTAGCATACTTTTCAAAAGGGGAGCCAGTCAAAGCGCCCCCTAATAAAAACATCCTGGTCCCCTAATTTTAGTCAAAACGTTCCCTGATTTTAGTCAAAGCGACCCATGATTTTGGTCCAAACGCCCCCTAACATATTTTTATAGAAAAAATATTGCCCCCAAATATTGGTCAAAGCGTCCCCTGATTTTAGTCAAAGCGCCCCATGATTTTGGTCAAAGCGTACCCTAACATATTTTTATAGAAAAAATATCGCCCCGAAATATTGTTCAAAGCGTCCCCTTAAAAAGGGCATGCAAACCACCTCCCAACCCCTCCAGAAAAACAATTCGTCTAGCCACTCCTCTAGTCTAATAATCAGCAGATAAAGTTTTGTTATAGTACAAAACAATTTAACAGTAGGGGATGTAGATTTTTTCATAAACTAATTTTGATGAGAAGCACCTATACACAGTTTGACCCCCCCCCCCCCAACCCCATAAAAAACAGAAGGGGTGGTGGTTGGCTTCTCTCTCTTTCTCAGACTCTGATACATATATGTATAGAAATACAAAAAAAGTCAAAATTGTCTTCTAAATGTACGGGGAATGGGGACTACGTAGTCCCCGATGTAACTTGCATGACGACCAAAAAAAATCAGGCACATGCAGTTTGACTTACCAGAAATTTCTGATATCCGTGCCTTGTAGGGTTTTTTCATGTAGTTTGCCACTATGTACTCTCCTGGTTTGTACTCATTCACGGGTTTTCTTGGATCTTTAACGTTTTCTAGATTAATCATGCTCACAAAATGATCCTCCCAGTGGACCAGCGCGTACATCGCCATTTTTGTTTTTTGACCGCGTGCTCAACTTTACATTGATGCGCATGCTCAATCAATATGAATTTTATTGATGCGCATGCTCAATCGATATGAATTTTTCATTTAGCGCGAAAAATAATCTTAATCGCTATAATGTTTGATTTAGTGTATTATTAATTGTTTTAAAAAAAAATACTTTATAAACGTTGACCAAGATGTCTGCAGTACGAAGTAAATGGCAGCAAATATCCACGAAGTTCAAATGCTGCATTTGTGGAAAAGTACTGTCATCCAAACAGAGAGTTTTGCAGCATATCGAGTCCGTCCATCAATACTGTTGTATGTATTTGTTTGATTTCCTGTCTTTTTAATTATAAATATGTAAGCTTGTAGCGCAGTTAAAGTTTAATTTTTGTAAAAATATCTATTTACTGTACAACTCCATTCATCTCTTAAATATCGTTTTATATTCTGCTGCGTTTTTTTTCCACATCGTAAGTTTATTTCAAAATAAACTCAAAAGGACTTTTTTCCCTGTACCCCATACATCGGGATCGATATTCCGAACTTCTCATTAGTGAAACCGGAAGTAGTGTAATAAACAATGAGCAAGGAGTAAGGTTTACATCAACGTTTTACATGGTCAACTCAAATCATTTTAATGAAAAAAATATGAAATAATCAGGTAATCAACATGCTAATTTTGAAACAAATGTAGGACATTGTCAAAATTTGCAACACGTTGACTCGATTGGGATAAAGTATGTTTTGTGCTAATCACCCAGAAAAAAAAAGGAAATGAAAAATTGAATAATCCAATATTATCCACAATTTTCCAAATTTTTATTATCTCAGTAAGACAAGTTATGTATTCGGAAACATTATAAACATCGCCAACTATTAATCCAAATTTCCTATCCGTTTTTCTAAAAATGGTGATATTTTCACTTACTTGGGGGTATGTATAGATAAACATACTAAAGATTTTGTTTCTTACATCATGTTAATTGCATTTATCTTATTATGTGATTGATTTCCTAGAAAAATATTGCATAGATAAAAATGTTGTAGGGAATACTAGTTATTTATTTTGATTACTGAAATGCCCAGTTTCTAATGGTATGCATGGTATGTTCTTGAGAAATATACTTGGTGAAAAATATTTTTTGTTGATTATTTTATACTAGCACCAGAAACAAAACTTCCAAAGAAAGAATGTTGGAGAAGATCAGAAGATGGACAGTTTGAGTGTAGAATGTGCAAGAGAAAATTGACAACAAAACAAAGAGTGTTGACACATCTGAATTTAGTCCATAATTTGAGTAGGTATTTAGAAAATCAATACAGTTTGATTACTAGTGATTGATCAGTAAGTTTTCTTTAATAATTTCAAGAGAAATTGAATATATTACTTCAATTTACGCTTTGATATGGGTACATGTACGTGCGTGATACGTACCAGTTAATACCGTACCGAATAGTAATAGTTCAAAAATACAAGTAATACTGTTTCATTTAATACTGCTACTGATAACGGTATTTCTTAATCCTTGAAACATTGTAATTCATTCAAAATGATTTTTTTTTTAAAGATTCCAGACTTGCTTAAATCAAATTCTCTGCACATTGAAAGGGTAGCCTAATTAAAAAAATAGATACTTAGTACAATACTGGCTTTCTACTGCCAATTTTTTAGGTAAATCAATAAGTATATTAAAAGTAGTAGGTGCAACCAACAAGATACTTTTATTGTAATAATTAAAGTAGGGTTGGATACAGTTTAGGATGAAACAGTACAATACTGGTATTTGTGAAACGATACAGTATTTTTAACGGTACAATACTATACCTTGATGAATGGGAATTAGGGTTCAATTTTATGACAAATGTGCTTACATGTACAGAATAAGCAGGGGTTGTGCAATTAGCATCGCCCAACGCCCAGGGCAACCATTTTTGGGGGTCGGGCTAATAGATTTCTGCAAGGAAGTAACCCGTCAGGCTAGTAAAAATGATAAATACGCATGTAATACATGAAAAGCACAACCTGTATTTAATTTTTCATTTATTTTTTACTATCAAATTTGCAACCAGTGAAAATTTTCCAGACAGCACACTCCTTAACTGTCAATAAATCTCCATAATCTTATCCATTTTTCAGTACTACCAGACTTAATGACTTACAAAAACGGTCGTTTTTTTTCCCCTTAATCCAAATTTCCTCCATTCCTCCGTTTATGGTAATTACAAGCAGATATCTCGATTTAAATTATTTACTATCACTCAATCAACTGAAAGATAAGTGTTTTTTGATTCACATAAAATATATTTCTAGTGTATTTAATGATTTAAGTTGAAAAAAGAATTTAATTTGATTCTAAATGAGCTAGTGCATGCAATCAGATCAGAAAAAGGGAAGATAATTTTTTACTGCAATTCATTCCTATTTTCTTTCATAATCATTACTTTATATATGATTTAATTTTAGAGCCTCTGCCACCGGTCCGCCGGTGGTGGAGGCTTTTTTTTTTTAAATAATGTGAATTAAACTTTAATTTTAAAAAGAATGACTTAGTACCCTGACTTTTTCAACAATTAATTTTTTTAGTTTCATTTTAATTTTTGCCCCTATATTTGGGCTAGTAACTTTTTACTTGGGGCTAGTAACGTTATTGCTGCCACTAGCCCATGGGCTAGCTAGTACTTGAATTTTTAATTGCACACATCTGATAAGTAACCTGAGCATATTAAGATGTTTTTTTCTTCTTCTTTTTTTAAAAGCCCCAATAAGGAATGAAAAAAAAAAGTACAAATATGACAGTGCTGCAACTGTTCCTAGATCAACTGTGTATCGATGGAGAAAAAAAAAAGATGTTCATGGTAACACATCTGCAAAAAGGACTCTTTTCCAGGAATCTCAGTTTATCACAGAAAGTAAGTATAATTTGTACTCAGGTAACTTGATATCCTATCCTCAAACGACAAGGTGAGCAGGGATATATATATCGATTTTGGAATCACCATGACTGTCTGCATACATGTTTCTTTAGAGTGGCCATTTTAATGAAGCTATTTTTTCTGAATGTTTCTGAAAATTTGTGTACTCTTTATTTACAATATATAATGGTCTTTATTTACAATATAATGGTGTGCATATGCTATTTTCATGATGATTGCTAGTATTGGTAGATCTTCCTGATTTTAATTCCAGACAGCTTTTGAATTTTATGGGGGGATTTTTTTGCTTTTTAAAAGATTCATAAATACATGATATAAGTATCTCACAGAGACTTGATGCTGTAATAGTCAGGCAGTGACATAAAAATGCATTACATCATCAAATATGACTGCTTAATGTCTATGCTAATTAAAGCAATTAATTACTTTATTTAATTGAATCTAACTGACAGAGACAAATTTTGCTAACTTAGTAGGTAACCTGAGGTATAATTTTCAAAAGTTGTGAGAGTATATTTATTTGGTCATTTAATAGTGTCATTGACATGGACATTAGGCCAAAAAAAATTAATAACTTGGCTCTCAGGCCAGTTTTCTCGAATAAATGCAGGAGGGATGCATTTCTTTTTTCTTTTTATCTCATGAAAAACAGACACCGGATTTTTTTTTTAAAAGATATAATTTCAAAACTAATTTAATCAACTGTGAGTGCTTCAACATCAAAATAATTTATTTCCTGCTTCTTTCTCTTTTCTCTTGCATCTTCTACAAATTCCTTTAGTGAAACGATGGCATCCTAAACACGAGACGTGTTAAACTTACAGAACCCAGCACTTTATTGATGCATCTGGTCAATTGTTTACGTAACAAAATCAATCTAAGTGTTTCAGCACTATAAATAGCACTTATGATTTTATTAAACATTGTCAAATTCATCAGTCTTTGGTTTACCCATACTAAATGAAATCTGCGTATCTTGCCGAGTTCCGAGTTTGAGGGAGCCGTATTTGATACCGTTATTGATCAATCAAATTTAGTTCTAGCATGGAAAACTTTCAGAAACCCCCACTTTGTACAGTGGAGGTACATTCCCTCATAAATCTGCACTGAAATCAATGCCAGCATAACTTAACTTAATCTTGGCACATTATCCTGTTTACTTGACGGCCATGTTTGTGATTTTATCTTGGTCAAAGTCTGGATCATCTTGATGTTTGTCAAACGTTTATCTGATTTCTAAATTGCAGACAAAATGCGGTCAGAAATTCTGGATTTTTATTTGGCTACGTACGACCGCATGAGAGAAATTTTATTTTATTCATTTGAGGATAAAAATGGGTAATACGCATTGTTCAATGATATGCGGGTGGGCCTGAGAACCAAGTTGTCATTTTTTTTAGGCCTTACATGTATATTTGTTCTATATTTATATGATGCAAAAAGTGATTAAGTGAATTTAAGATTTAAAAGGTGTTTTATTTATTATTTTTTCAATACTGTACAGATCAAAGTGAGGAAGCAGGTGCAGATCCAGATCTCTTGGCATCACTTGAAAATTCAAGCTCCGAAGAAGTTGAATCACAGGAGGTCTTTCTGGACTCTTCAGAAAATCACATGTACTCCCATCTTTTAGCAGATCAATGTTTAGCCTCTTGTAATGCCAAACCATCTAAAGATTTCCAACTTTTAACAGACCAGGAGATTTCATCTAGCAATACCAGCAAGACAGAGAAAGATATGGTGGTTCAGGTTAATGATGAACAGTCAATCATACATGAAAATGAGACATCAGATACAGAAAGTGATATCTCTTTTCAGTATGATTCCTTAGATAATCATTTTGAAACAAAATCTATTGATTTTTCATCATCTAATTCTTGTGATTTCTCGTCTGACTCTAATGACACAGATTCAAACGCAGCATCATTCTCGGAATCTTGTTCGTTGGACTCGGATACTGAAACTTTTTCAAATGAAAGTGACTCTGATATAATACCTGAAAATTCAGAAAATAATCTAAATATGCCTAAGAAGGAATACCAGGCACTCTCTCTATTATCATGCTTCTTAAGGAATAAATTTTCAGCAAGTGCAAGTAAAGATGTAATTGATACATTAAAGAAAACTTTTCCAAAATCAGAAGAAGTATGTGCTCTGGACTGGGATGAAATGTTATCGCACACAGATAATACTCCTATGCATGAGATTCACTACTGTACTCTCTGTAACAAAGTTTTTCCTGTTGAAGATGATGATGTGTTTCAATGTCAGAGTCGGGACTGTGACGGGCTCCGTTACAAAGGCCCTTTAAGCAAACAACAAACCAAAACAAGACAACCAAGGCAGGTCTTCGTTTTTGCAGATGTAGGAAAACAATTAATGGATTTACTACAGACACCAGGTAATTTTTTGGTCTATTGGAGAATATTATGGCCATGGTATCTCTTTGATGTCAACAATAACTGTAGTACATGTATAATTATGTAAATATACTTATTATACATATATATCATGCAGCGTTTTTTTTCCTTATATAACTGGTACCGACAAACGGCACCGTTCCCAATGCAAAAAAACATTAATTTTTCCCAATTCTGTGACTAAAAATTCCCAATTCAACTGTGATGCAACAGACTACGATAACATCATATTTCTTGTTAAATGAAACATTGTACAAGTTGACTAATTGTTTCACTTCCGCTTAAATCGAAAGTAGAGAAAGTCGTAATTTGGCGGGACCTGTGGTTTAGACAGCGTAGTGTCATACATTTTGACAAATTGAAAGCATGAAAATGTGAAAACATGGGACGTTGATATAAAAAAAAACAATAAGTACTTATGCTTATTCAGTCAAACAAGGAGTAATAGGTAATTAAATTGGAATAAACTCAAAATACGTTGCATTTGCATAAATGAGAGAAAATTCTGTTTTTCTTCTATGCTATTTTTCCCAATTGAACCGGTACCGGACCCTTTCCCAATGCGTGGAAAAAAATCGCTGTCATGTACCGGTATATATGTTAAAAAATTGAGTAATTTAAATTGATACCTCACTGCAATTAAATAAGTGTACTTGACAAAACTCAAATTAAAGTTAATGATTTGTAAAAGAATGTTAAGAATTGTAAATAGGTATTCATTTGATTGGTCTGAGTCAAATATGTGAACAAATGTTCTTTCATGTTATAAAAATTATAAATCACATAAAATTGTTGCATTATACTTTTCTTGAATTTATTGTAGGAATATGGGAAGATATTCAAGAGACAAAACAAAAGGCATATGATAGAATGAATACAGGATGCAGCCTTTTAACAGACATCTCAGATGGACAAGGATACAGGAAATTGATGCAAGATGGATATCTAGATAGTAATAATTTGACTGCAATTTTCAACACAGATGGGGTAAACTTATATTCTTCATCTAAAATAGAGTTATGGCCAATATTTTTGGCCATAAATGAGCTGAGCCCCCCAAAACGTTTTTCGCGTGAAAACATTCTTCTAGCTGGGATGTGGCAGGGCAAGGGAAAACCACCATTTCAGGAATACTTCAAAGTTTTCAGTGAATTTATGAATGCTTTATATGTTGATGGTGTTGATGTATGCATAAGTAACAAAAATTATTCTATAAAGCTGAAGATTGTTTGTGGAACCATGGATTTACCAGCAAAGGCAGAACTATTAAACATGTCCTATTTCAATGGACCATATCCATGTATTACTTGTGAGGAGGAGGGGAAAACAGTCAAACAAGGAAAAGGAACTGCTAGATGTTTACCATTTAGGATTCCCGGGTCCCAACCCACGCAGCGGAAACATGATTTACTAGTTGAAAACATGAGGAGTGGTACACCAAATAATCGTTCAAAGGGAATGAAAGGAATGTCTGGAATTTCTTACTTAAAAGATTTTGATATTGTTGCAGGAATAGTACCAGATTACATGCATGGTGTTTGCTTAGGCATTGTAAAATCTTTGATGTGTAAGTGGTTTTCAACGAAAAATAAAGCAGCAGATTACTTTGTTGGAGAAAACATACAGGAAATATCACGACGTATGGAAAGTTTAAAACCCCCTTACAGCATTGAAAGACTTCCAAGAAACTTGGAGAAACACTACCAACACTTTAAAGCGACGGAATTACAAAGTTGGCTTCTTTATTACGCATTGCCATGTATAGAAGATTTTTTGGATGATCAATTTCTTGAGAATTATTCTTGTCTGTCTGAAAGTATATATATTTTACTTGGTGACAAAATATCTCAGACAGACATAACCCGTGCAGAAGATCTTTTGCAACAATTCTATTCTTCATTTGAAAGGTTATATGGGGAGGGTTCATGTGGTCTAAATGTTCACAACACTGGATTGCATTTGAGTCACTTTGTAAAACTTTGGGGTCCCATGTGGTGTTGGAGTTGCTTTCCATTCGAGGATATTAATGCTATGCTTTTAAAATCTGTTCATGGAACTGGGGTTGTTTTGAAACAGGCCATGAAATATAGACAAGCGCAGCTATGTATAAGGAGAAAAGGATTACAACTAAGAAAGTGTGACAGTTTAAAAGTAACCTACAATGCTAATAACTGTGATGTAGCTGGATCTTTGCAGCCTCTTCAACAACACGAATTGGAAGATTCGGTGAAAGCAGCTCTTTTAGACATCATACCAGAAAATTTGCGTGTTTTGAAAAAAGTTAATAGAATAGTTGTAAATCAGAAGAGGTTTTATTCTGAAGAATATAGCCGGATGCAGAAACGTATCTGTACTGTAGTTTTATACGGAAATAATGACATTGGAAAGATCAAATACTTTGTTTTATGTGAGTACTCTAAGTGTGTGTATGCCGTGCTTGAACAAATGCAAATTGAAGCTCGAGTTTCAAATCACTGCATAGCTGTTACTTCAATTGCGCAGAACTGTGTTGTGACAAATGTTACAAATCTGAAAGAAGTGTTGGTATTTTTAGATGTTAAGTCTAGAAATAGACAATTTGTGATCCGGATGCCCAATTCTTATGGACACGCAATTTTCAAATAACTGACGGAATGATCTTAAACAGTGAGATCAGCTGAGTTGTTTATTTCGCAGATTTGGTTGTACACAAGAACATGTATTTGTTAAAGGTGGTAATCTTAGTAACAAACTTGATTCTTCTCACTGGTACAAAAAAGAAAAAATCATGTTATTTATTATATTTTACTGTTGAATTGTTTTTTAGCTGAACTGCAAACAACCTAAGTAATTTAATGATATATGTCAATAAGCATATTTGAAAGATGCCATTATCGGTAATCACCACATATTTCTCTAAAACTTTTTTTTTTCTTTCGTCAGAACCTTCTTATCCCAGCATTTCTTCACTTCTGCATGAAAATTAAAGGATTAAGCAATTGTACAATACATGATAAGAGTAAGAGAGTCCATGTTGATGTTAAACCTGTGTACATATTTATTATGTCGTTGAATGCAATGTGAGAATAAATTATTGATCATTGTAAATTGACAGGATTATCTGTACTAAAATAGTTCTAGATTTGTTCCTTAAAAATGTTGTGACAGGTCTGTAACAGATCAGTTACAGATTTGTACCCATTGTCCATCATCCAAATACGATGACCTTTTCTATTACATTTTTTTGAACATTTTTGGCCAACTTTTAGTCCAAGAACTGTCTTAAAATTGTTCTGTTACTATTCCAGAACAGAACAAGGATTTGGCAAATCCTTAATCTGTTCGACAAGAGTTCCTGATGCAGGTTCTGTTACAGTTCTGGAACAAAATTTCTAGAAACTATTATGGGTATGGTTCTAGAACTGTTCATGAAATTCTAGAACAGTTCCAGAACACTGGAACATTTTTTCGCAGGGGCAGAGGATGTTACCCACCCACCTCCCCAAGCCACCTCCCCAACTCACTTTAGATCCAACACTACATTTCTCCTCTTTTGTGCGAGATGTAAAAGGCTTGGCATACTGTAAAACGCACTTTATCCTTGTCTGTTGGAGCAAAATCTCGTAATATTCTGTCTGATAATAGTTGGTGATTTAATCATTTGGAAAATTTCATTTGGAAATGTATATATACAATACACGACATTTTCAATTATATTCAACAAATCCTGTTTAATTAAATAGAGAAAGTGAAATTGTTTACTAGTATACTTGTAAACTGTATAACGCGGTCTTTGCTTAAGACTATGCCTAATATGTGTGCTGTGTGGCAACTAGCTGCAGAAATGTAGCTCTCCGAATGACAGACAGGAGAGATACAGTGCCACCCATTGAAAAAACTGTATATTTATTGCGTACAAAAAAGTGCGCTCAGTTCTGGGGTACCTGTAAAGTGCGAAATGAAATAGAAACGAAACGAAACGAAACGAAATCTGCCGAAACTAAACGAAATCTACCGAAACGAAATGAAATCTACCGAAACAAAACGAAATCTAACGAAACGAAACGAAGCGAAACAAAACTTTCAGAATGTTTTTCAAATCATGGTATATATATGTACATATAGTTATAGATCATGTGTAACTGCATATGGTCTATTTTTACTTCATATGAAATTTATAAAGTTCAAACACCACAGGCAATTGTTTCGCTTTAATTAAGTTCATTCATAGGCGTTGGGAGGAAATTGAAAGTAGGGGAGGGGGGGGGGGGCTTGACCAAACCAAAAAGGTAAACCCAAATTTTCAATGCCTGTATAATATATATCTTTGCAGAAAAAAAAAATGGGGGGGGGGGGCTCACCCTCCCCCGCATCCGACGTTTATGTCATATTTTTTAAATATAACACCAAATAATTTACCTTCTTAAAAATGACATCGTTCGCTTCGAGAGATTTTTTTCGTGTCAGTTAAATTGTTTCGGAATTGAATACTAAATACTCGGAAGTCTCTGGTTTATCCTATGTTTTAAGATATTCGCAATACAACAGTACTGTGACTTTATTCAGACCCGTTCATAAACGAGCCTTTACATGTAACACGCCAATTTTGATAGATATGTTGTATTTAGATAAACGAGGGCTGAAAAGGCTAATGGTACTTTGCGGAACGAAACGGAACGGAACGGAACCAGTTGTGGGGCACCCTAGAGGGGGAATAAATATGAATATATTATATAATAAAAATGAATATAATAAGTTAATTTATTACAAATTATTCTGCCATTCTATATCTTAGGAAACCAACCAAAGAAAGTGTCAAGTGTCTGAAGTAAAGGACCATAAAATAAAATGTCTATAAATTATGAATTATTCTGCCGTTAAGTTTTTGATCTGCTGTGTCATGTGTAGTAACTATGTGAACTGTTTTGAATGAGAGACGTATACCTATCAATGATGTAAAAAAATTATTAATGCTTTTCCTTAAAAGTTTTCTGTCAATAGATTATTATGAAAAGAATGTCGTTCATGTGCAGTCTAAAGGTAAAGAGAGTTGTTGCGCTTTGCCAGTATGGTCATTCTCTGGTTCCGTTTCGTTCCGCTAAATACCAATATCCGTGTGGGTATTAGTATTTAGCGAAACGGAACGAAACACAGTTAAGTTGGAATAAGATGATACACATACAAGCATTTTGTTGTATTTCATTTCATCTCATCTTTTTAATAATCAAAATTTCAGGGGGAAAGAAATATAAGAGACAAGGATGTTTGAAGAGGAAAGTATATCATCGATCATATATCCAGCATAATAAAGCATATTTTTTTTTAACCTTTCAAGCTTCTCCAAAAGTCTTGTCTTTATACAATCGCAGGCCTTGATGTTGAAATTGAATTGAAAATCATGCTCAGCATTGAAATTATTTTGACGACAGTCCTAAAAATTCTTCTTTTAAAAAAAAAAAATACAATTAAACAAAAAGTTTTGTTAACTTTTCTGTAAGTTAAACACCATTTATATTTGAAAAGAAGAGGCAAGAAAAAGTGTTTCAAAATGATCAAATCTTGTTCCGTTCCGTTCCGCAAATTACCAATATCCACACGGATATCGGTACTTTGCGGAACGAGACGGAACCACATCTTTTTATTTGAAGAGAAAAAAAAACAAGAACTAACCAAAAACAGCCTAAATCTGCCGTAGTATTCATGACACCAACCAATTTTTTTTAGCTTTCATGAATCCTTGGTAAATCAGAATATTCCAAAATAAGTTTAACTGAGAGAACAAGTCATTTTTAATTAAAGGAAAATATATGACATTCACGTAACAACTTATTTCTTCATATATTTATTCCATTGTGTTTTAGTTTTGCTGAGATTTGTTTAGTTCCGCTTAATACTACTAGTAATTTCTGTAGTGACTATGTGAACTGTTTTTAATGAGAGACGTACACCTATCACTGATGTAAAATAGTAAAATATTATTAATGCTTTGCCTTCAAAGTTTACTGTCAATAGATTATAGATTATTATGAAAAAAATGTCGTTCATGTGCAGTCTAAAGGTAAAGAGAGTTTTGATGGAACTTAATAAAAACAAAAATTTCATCTAATAAAAGCTGACTAAATGATGTCACTGAATGAAACACAGTAAAGAGTCGTATGAACGGCACTTAAATTCAAAATATAACTGCTGAATTTAGTATCCCAAATCAAAACATCTTGATGAACACATGGCTGAAATGAATGCAAAGGGTGTCCTTGACTATATTACTTATAGCTTTCTGCAATTAGCAGATAACACGAGGACGGAGAGATTAAATCTACTCCATAAAATATACAAAAAGTAATTGATGCTGCAAATTACCTTTATTTCTCTAGAAGGCCTATTACATTTCAAAAAGGCACTTACTTAAATGTAGTCATTTTTATTGATTATAATTTTAATCATTTATTGTGCTTGCATAACTTGAGCACAAATTTTATGGAAGAATGAACTTCTGCGACCACACAACGAGAATTTGCTGGTCAGCTGTGATGTAACATCACTTTACACAAATGTGCAATTGGAGAAGCCTATGGCTGCTGTTGATACGGCTTTTAGGGAAATTCTCAGTCTAAGCCGAGCCCACAACAGACCAAATTTATTTACTCAGATTTAATATATTTGAATTTGCAAATATATACAAACAAATAATTGAATATGCGATGGGTTCTAAGTCAGGAACCCCATTCTGTATGCGATATTCGCTAATAAAATCGATGTATAAAATTATAAAAATGCCAGCATATTCAAAGAAATATAAGGATTGCAATACAATCCTCCAAGAAAAACCTATTGTGTCATTAAACACATTAATAATCTGAGTAACATGCTCCTCTCCTAACTAATTTAATAATTTGTATAACAGATGTGCAAATAGGCTCCTGATGATGGCGGATTTGCAGCTAATTAATATACTATCAAAATCTTTAACCTCGTATATATCACACCGCCGAAACACTAGATTAGTGTCGAGTCAAGTGGTTTGAGGTACGTGGCTGATGAGAGTCACTTTCTTTGAAAAAAAAAAAAAAAAACATTTTCTTTGACTGTATGTAAAGAAAACAAGAATTTTTTGGACTGTCACCGGTCATATTAATTTTCTTGCTGAGCGTGATTTTTAAATTCAAAATCTTACAGGGCAAAAAAATTCTAATGCCGTTCATTAACAGAGTTTTAAAATCCTTGATAATGTAGTTCCGTTCCGTTCCGTTTCTCAAAGTACTAATATTGTAGTGGATAATGGTATTTTGCGAAACGGAACGGAACATGTTGTGTGTGTTTCTTTTCTTAATAGCGCAGAACTGAATATTTAAGATATTGATCAAGGTTCAGGTAGTAAACATATTTGTTAGCATACAGCAAATTGCAAATCACGCGTTTTTAGATCTACCTTTACATAACAAATTTAAACTTATTTTGCATATCAATTTAGTTGAAGATAGATGGTATTTACGTTTTCCTATCAACATCAAGACCTGCGATTGTATTTGTATATATAACTGATATAAAGACAAGACTTTTGAAGAAGTTTGAAAGGTAAAAAATATGCTTTATTATGCTGGATATATGATGGATGAATTTCTTCTGCAAAAATCCTTTTATTGTGCTGGATATATGAGGGATGAATTACTTTCTTACTATTTTATTTTTCCCCCTAAATTTAATTTTTGATAAATAAAAAGATGATATGAAATGAATAACAACAAAATGCTTGTATGTGTATCATCTTATTCCAACTTAACTGTGTTTCGTTCCGTTTCGCTAAATACTAATACCCACACGGATATTGGTATTTAGCGGAACGAAAGGGAACCAGAGATGACCATACTGGCAAAGTGCGACAACTCTCTTTACCTTTAGACTGCACATGAACGACATTTTTTTCATAATACTCTATTGACAGTAAACTTTGAAGGCAAAGCATTAATAATATTTTACATCAGTGATAGGTGTACGTCTCTCATTAAAAACAGTTCACATAGTCACTACAGAAATTACTAGTAGTATTCAGCGGAACTAAACAAATCTCAGCAAAACTAAAACACAATGGAATAAATATATGGAGAAATAAGTTGTTACGTGAATGCATGTCATATATTTTCCTTTAATTAAAAATGACTTGTTCTCTCAATTGATTTACCCAGGATTCATGAAAGCTAAAAAATTGGTTGATGTCATGAATACTTCGGCA